TGAGTAATATATTCCTGAAATGACAATATTGGACAAATATAGAAAATATCTATGCTAATCATTTTTTATCAAAGTTTTGAATGACTATAACTGCAATGCATTATTTTTGTGTGAACTTTTAATAGGCAACTTTCAAGTACAAGTACTGTGCGCCCTACAGAGACTAGAAGAAGGGCTGCGCCAGCTGAAAGAGGAGTTTCGGACTCATGTGTCGAGAACGGCAGTAATGGACGAGGATGACGAGGACCTAAGTGAACCAATCCAGGACCCAGTCCAAACAGTGGAGGACTTCAAGCTTCTTGACTCAAAGCTTGTTGATGCAAGCTTCAAGAAGAAAATGGTAAGTTTGATCACTCATTAAAGTGCAGGTTTGTTTTCCACAAGTACAACACATAAAAGTAAACTATCCTGAGTTTCCGACTGATGAATGCACTGATGAATGAACAGTATAAATACATATGATTGCTTGTCTCTACCTAGGAGTAATGGGAACCTTGGTCGCGTGTAATATACCTGTAGCTGTGAGCATGGCAGCTTTGCTATGGCGGCCGGGCTTGTATGCTCCCCAGGGAGGTTAGGTTGTGTTCAAGATAATTGGGCGGGTGTCAACTGTACCTGAAGACCAAGGGTAGACTCTACAGTGCCTAGAGAGGAAGTTCCATTCCTATTAAGCGCTATATTAATGCAGCATATTAGTATTATTATTAAATGGCAAAAGTACTTGTATTTTCAGATATGCTTCATGAGTCTAGTTGGTGGACGAGTAGATACAATAATGTAACCCAACAAGAGTAGGGTTACAACGCGTACTATAGTTTTCTGTGGAGGCGCCCCGAGTGATTCGCTCAGGGCGGTTTTATGGTTTGTTTTTCGAGACTACAACTTCCAAACTGGGTTTATTCTAAACACAAACCTTTCTCCGCTATCCGGCGACTTACTATGTATCACAATGCTCTGTATTAAACTGATATAACCTGTTGCAACACTTCGAAGCGACGAGCTGCGATATTTTGACCGCCATTTCTCGTGAGCTGTTTCCCAATGTTCATAGCGATCGGCAAACTTTGGTTTCTAAAGCGGATGCATCACGGGATACCTGAGAAATAGCACGTGGATGTGGCACGTATCCTTCACCGACCAATCGGAGGGCTCGCAGCTCAATAAAGCTGATCCGCAACGAAGTGTGTGTCTATCTAGCTTTAATAGTGTTCTTAGCAGACAGAAAAATGAATACAGAAAGAAATGGTTTGCTCTCATATCGTTATTGTGGCTAGGAAATTAAAATAAAATGAATTTAACCATATCCTTCAATTACGTTTGTTTGTTTTTCGTTTATCTATTAATATTCATGTTATTCTAAATAGAATTACTCCATAACAAACCCGAGTCACGTGACAAAAAGCAACGTGGTAAATGCACACAAATATGGCAGAGCCGCAGCAGTGTGCAAATTGCAATTCAACGTTATAAAAAATTACACCTGCAACTGACCCCAAAGCAAAAGTGCCAACGCTTCCTCTGCCCAACATGTTCTTGGGCATTGTTGTCAACGGCCAAGAGCAATCTGAAACGTCGAGAAGCTCATGCCACCTTCAGCCGCCAGACGGCAGGCTATCTGGCATCAAAACGAAAGGGGTTGTGGAGCCCATATGTCACGCCGGAAAAAGAAGGAAAATGCGTGCTGGCCAAGCACAGGTAATTATAATATTTTCTTTAAAAGGATCGTTTACTCTAGCGTACCTCCATAAAGAGCGTAGCGACAACCTCAGCTCAGGCGCCATGTTTTAGCCAATAGACCGCGCGCGCGCGGCTGCGGATACTAGTTATATACTAGTTAAAAATTAGGTATTGCGTTTTTACGACAGTGGCGCCACTCAAAGCGCAGGAGTTGCGCAAACCCACTTTTCAGCCAAGGGCTACAGACCGAGGGTGTTTCTTATTTATAAATTTAAAAGCAAACAAATTTTAATATCTTGGTCTTAGTCTGTCTCTAGTTTCACACCCTCGGTCTGTAACGTGCGAAATAAATTGGCAAATGCGCAACTTTTTTAGGGTGGCATCACTGTTGCGGGTGTCAATGGCACCTTTCAAATTTTGTAGCAATGATGTAGAATTAATTATAACAATTAAATTAGGTATCTGGTAACAAGTACGTGTGGGTATAGACGATTTGGTATACAGTAATTACAACTGTATGCAGTAAAATCCTAGAGTCTACTATCCTTTTAAACATGGCGTGGTGAATTATTGATTTTCCTATGTAAATGAATAAACTGAAAGCTAAAGACATTTTGAGGCATGTGAGATCATATAAAAGAAGTAGGATATCAATAGCAGAAAATTTGCTATATAATTATAGTTTGCCGTATATACGTTTGTTTCATTATAATTAAATTAGTTAGGAGATTTTCTGAAATTGTAGAGTCCAAAATCTGCTGCCGCGAATCCGTAGTCGCATAAGGAAACGAAAAAGGTATGCTAGTTTATTAGGATTTTTTTAATGGTTAAAGACAATACGTTTCAGAAATTTAAAGCAAGCAATTCTAATTGAGTGGCAACGATTGATGCCAGGCAACATTATTTACTCTTTCAGCATGAAAGTTTTAGTGCTATCTTTTCCATGCACAGTTTTGCATTTCAGAGGCGTGTTCAGGAGAGCGAGCGCTCGATGCGAACGCTCGATGAACGAACGCAGCGCCTCCTGAACGACACACGAGCGCTCGCTGTGCGCTCGCTGTGCGCTCGCTTGATCAAAGATGGCGGCCCCCATGGAGGGTTACTCAGCAGATTTTAATCGCGAGAGAACTGTTAAACGAATTAGCAGACGAAATTGATACAAATTGAATTTAGAAGTAAATGAATGAATGAAAAGTGAACAACAAGTTTTATGTTTCTCCCCCCCAACATAATGGGGATGCGGGCGGGCTTGCAATAGGCGCTGATATTGTGAATCTGCGTGCCCCATGCAATTCATCAAGGAGCGGAGGTCATTTATGGCTGGCTTGCAGATCTTAAATACATGGCACCAGTATTAGCTCCACCCTTGATGGAAAACACCCGGCTTAGACAAAACATAGCATAAACGCAGCAATCTAAGAAATATTATAGATTTCAATCTAAGTCAATCCACCATTAAAATGCAATCCTCCAAAAACAATGCCATAAAGGGGACGTTTGTATTCTATATTTAACATTACACTACCATAAAAAAGGAAGATGGCATAAGTTTAACTTAGCTGTGTGTCTCGTCTGCGTGGTAACGACTCTGATTGTATTCCACTCTCTGCACGGATGACTTGACTTATGCATTTTTTTTAATACAATGACGTCTCTGCGCTGCCTAACAGGATACTGTCAAAGCTGTAAACCCAGTCAAATACGATACTTCGCCTCAACGTTCATCAACAGAAATCGTATCTATGTTACGAACAAAAAAGGGGGTAATGATAGAATTTTAGAAAAAAATTGACAGGAATTCGATCGAAGGAATCGAGGGGGTAATACGAGAACCGGGTCGAACGAGGGCTGTGTCTACAGCTAATTATAAGGTGATATTTATACAAGTAAAGTGTACAAGGCCGCAGTGATCCTCACCTGTCGGCAGGTATTGATGTTTCTGAAGCATCGCTGAATTGTTCTTTGGCGGCACGTCCGATGACTTAGAGGAAACTTACGTCATAAACGCGATTAAGAACATTAGATTTAAGAACATGTTAGGCTAAAATTCCCATTTAGACCCTTCAAAAGAACATGCTTTTAGGCTAAGATTTTAATAAAAAAAGGGGGGTGGTTCTTTAATTCCATGCAGGATGAGACTTAACAAAGGAAACACAGGCATTGTTAAAGATAAAAAGACGAGCTTTCATCGATGTGCCTATGACATGCCAATTCGCCAATTGGCCGAATTGCCACCTGCTCAACGAATAATCAATTGCGCAGCACCAGTGCTGTTATTGAGACACGTGTTGTGTGGTACTGCTTATTTATATTTACCGTAAAACCCAGCGTTAAAAACACGTCGTCTGGATGCAAGCCCCTAGGGTGGAAATGCGAGTTCAAAAATTTGCTATACATAAGAACACATCGCTGAAAATAAAATTGTTTCTTACTTAAAAAAATATTAAAATTCCATATCACACCATTACACATACATACTGCTACTGGTACACGATGATCACAGTCCTAAGCCCGCGCGGTGCGCGGGGTTCAGCTAGTACATATTAAAAGTTAGAAAAATTAAGAACTGATTCTAAGACCTTTTGAGCCTAATTTTTTCGTAAAGCACCATCTTATATAGAACATGTTGAGGCTAACTCTGGAAAAATCTATTCTTGATAGCGGCGTTTTATGTGCGCTGGTGGAATTGCAGCAAAACTGGACCCATTGACAAAAAACAAATACTAAAACTGGAAAGATTACAAATTGACTTAAACTTTCAGGCTGAAGACGTAAATATGTGCCTGGCTCAATGACGTGCACTCATTAGAAATTGCCTTATTTTCGATTACAAAACAATCTAATAAACTAGTACCTTTTTCGTCGTTAATGCGATACGAGATTCGCGGCAGCAGATCTTTGGACTCTGCAATCAGAAAACATCTTCCTAACTATGTCTTACAATTATAATAAAACCAAACGTATATACGGCACTATAATTATATTGCAAATTTTCTGTATTGCATATCCTACATTCTATATTATAATGATTACATGCCTCAAATGTCTTTACTTTGAGTTATTCAGCTTCATAGGGGAAATCAATCATTTGCACAACGCCACATGTTTTAGGGGGCAAGGATGTAGCCTAGGATGTTTACCGCCAACCTATAATAGGGCGAGGCCTGGTTTTGGCTGTCTGTCTGTCGTGTCTGTCTATCTTCACCCCACGTAGAGTTCACCCCAAACAAACCCTATATATCTGATCAGCATTGACCCGACGAATCTCTCTCC